TGTCAAAGAAAACATCGGACAATAGCGAATAAACCAGTGATAAACTCGAGTCCTTGCAATGTTGAAGCTTTAAAAAAGTTCCGTATTTACCCTCTTGGTTCACATTTAAAAATTATCACTGCTGCAACGCTTTTGTTCAAACTTTAATAAAAGGACTCAATCGAGAAAGCCCATGGGTTTTATATCTCAAGATTTTGACTATGAAATTGAGCACCGTACCGGCTCAAAGATGGCTCACGTGGATGCCCTCATCGCAGTCCATGTGCATGACTATCCAAGACAGTGTCCTTCTCAATTTTCGCAAGACAGAAACCGCGCGCATATTACGGCTATTAAAGCACTCCTTCAAACGATGCCTTCGTATGATAACTTTCTCGTTAAGAACAATCCCTGTACAAAAACGTCAACGGCATTGACTTACTTGGTGCCTGAGGATATTCAGGCAAATGTCATAAAAACAGCTCACGAACGAGGCCATGCGCGTATCCGCACTCAAGAACTTTTAAACAACGAATATTTTATCCCAAATCTGAAAGAAAAATTGAGCGGTGTATCCGTAACTGCATCCATGCATCCTCAAATATGAACGTGGCAAACAAGATGGACTACTGCACCCATGAGAAAGACGACGCACCTTTGCACACGTACCATATTGACCACCTAGGTCCCCTTGCCACCAATCAAAGAAAACAAACATATTTTGCAGTTATAGACTCGTTTACTACATCGTGTGGCTTAATCCGACAATCACACGAGATAAGTTATCACTCGGCTGGAATCTCAAGATCGTCTTCGGAAATCCTTCCACGATTATCTCTGATCGAGGCCTGCATTCAAATCCACTACATTTGCAAACTATTGTGACCACAGAGATAAAGCACGTTCTTATTACAGCTGGCCTCTCATGATCGAAGTCAAGTTGAGCGTTTGAACTCCATTATTATTGCTGTCCTTTCTAAACTCTCATACCAACCCTGAGCAATGGTAACGCATTGTTCCCGCCGTGCCAAATTATTAATTCAACTTTCAACGTAGCATCAATTCTACTCCCTTTGAACTTCTCTTTGGGACTATAATGAAATCGCAAAACGACATAACATCGCTGCTCTAATCGACGAGGAGATCAATCTGCATTCTTCAGCAACATACGATCTCCGAAGGACGCAAAACACGAAATCTCTAAAGTGCAAGATAAAATCGCCGACTTTAATTTGCGAAAAACAGGCACAAAATTTCACTTCATGACCTTGTGGCTATCAACGAACTCAGTTGGCCTGGTCTAAAACTCAAACAGAAATTTCTCGGACCTTATAAAGTCACCAGGCTCAAACAAAATGACACGTTGATGTGGAAAGTGTTCATTTTTCGACGGACCACCAAAAACATCTACTTGTGTGAATACATGAAATCCCGGTCCAACAATATTGAACGTATCAACTTAATTTTATTAAACTGCACATTAGGTCCTCCTGTTTGGACAGATGACACCTGAGACTTCTAATATTTTTTTCCTCATATCAACCTTTTTAATTCATTTTGTCATACTAATGTTCTTTTTATTATTAACTGCTGTGGTGTGTTTAATCTATTTTTTTGCTCCATTGTGTAGTATACTCACTTTGTAGCTACAGATTAATTTTTTCCATACCTATGTTACTATGCGATAATATTTTTTTTTTAATTTGATGATATGGACTATGTGGCTTCGGCGAGGTCACCTGTCCGGTCTGTGGCCGAATGTGGGAAATGTTGTCATGATATTCCATAATCCCCTACTGTGTGACGTATGCATTGGTCAGCATGTTTTCCCGCCTTCGGGGAGAGGACGAGGATTAGCTGGCGAGCGGAGCACGTCGCTCGTCGCTCGTATACCATTTTCATTAATTGTAATCCTAATGTAATCTATATTTTAAATATAAAGTGTTTATCAACTATGGTCGTTGCCTTTCCCCACATATATATATACTTAAAAATATATATATGCTTACATGGAAAAAAAAAATTAAGTTGTTCCAACATAAAGTAAAACTAAGTCTAAATTGACTTTTGAAAAAAATATCACTTAAAAATACTCCAAATTTCATAGCTCTGGGTATATCTGTTTCTGAGCCATATAACAAAGTCACACACAGTCTTCATTTTATAACAATAGAGAGGAAACAAGAGTAAAAATATATGCTGATTTTTCTTAGAATTAGAAAAGTATGAAATAAAAAAATAATGATTAATTACTAACTACTCTTTCTATAAAACAACATAAACACAACAACTAATTATGATTAATGCACAATTATAATGTCAAATGAAAAATTTTGCCATTTTGGCAAACTGGTAGTCATTGTGTTGTTTTATATTGATTATACGCAAATATATACTCATTTTGTGGAAATTAAGATTACTGAACAAGTCTGAAATTTACTTCATGTATCCTTTTCTGAACATTTTCCTTGTGACGTTTGCCTCTTTCATGGAATTCTATACTCTAAAAAAGAAGAATGAAAAGAAAAAAAAAAAATTATTTTATGCCACAAAAATGTGTTATTATACACATTTTAATTCAGAGATAGACAAAGCATGAAATTACAAGTGTATTCAGAATTCCAATTAAAATCAAAATGCAATAATTAAATTTGAATTAACTACATTACAGATTAGAACTACTAACTATTTTCAGAAAATCTGCATAAACAATCAATGAAAAATAGCAACATAAATAAAGGGAAAATTTTTATATATCTACTTTAACAATCTACTTTAACATACTAACACTCTAAACAGCATGGTTCTCTCCTCTGTAGAGCATGGTTCCCTAAAACTAGTCATGAGATTTGTCACCATTTAGTAAATATTACCTTGCTATTTAAAATATTTTGCGCCTTTACACTTTTTAATAACCTAATTATCGTATCCTAGTGAATGAAAGTTATGACAAAGAAGCATGAGTGAGTTTTATAATAGTTTTCAGTATTTTAATAATTGTTTCAAATATATTACTGTTTCCAGTATAATAATAGGTATTTCATAGTTCATTCAATGAAGGAAACTTAATAAAAAAATTCTAAAATTTTAATAAAAGGTATATTAGTCTAACTTGATTAATACTGTATATATCAAAAATCATTGTAAAATTAATATTACAATTTGAAAACAGCATTAATATTTTATTCAGCCGATATTCTTCATTAGCGCGAGTTCTCATAATTATTCTGCCTTTCAGTGAAAGGTACCAATAAACTTTGTTGTTTACAAAGATCAAAATTCAATACAAGAAATGATACTTTTTTCTTACTTAATATCTTTTATTTACTTAACATATTTTATTTATTTTAGTTTTAACAGAAATCGTTAGAATCATAGTTAAGTCCAACAATCTGAAAAATCATAGCTTTAAAATAAATCACCATAAAAATCAAATTATGAAATTAAATAATAGTTCTTGATACCTGATCAGAGAGATACAGTTAATACATTGATCCAGAAGTTTATTCGAGAAACAGATTATACAGAAAGAATACAAAAATCTCTGATCCTATTTTTCTTCTCTTTCTTTTTAAACAAAATCAACAGGTGTGAAATACTATGCTCTAAACACCCTGGTGCTCAAAGAATCAACAATGATAATAACTTCCTAATCTTAGAATAATAACATTCAAATGTATCCACCTGTGATTATTTAACAGGCTTCCTAATGTGATTACTCTGATACTAGTATTCATATATAGTGGCATAACAAATAATAATTATTTTATATTTATATTTTTTAATTATCAAAAATTATTATTTAATAAGAACCAGAGAATACACATCTCATTATTTTAAGTAATTAAAGACATTAATAAAATTTACAAAACTTAGGAAACCCATACTTTTGAAAAAATAAAGCTTTCAGAATTTGGAGAAGTGCTAAAGATATACAAAAAAACTTCATCTGATTATTCATTAGTTAGGATCATGAATATAAAATATCGAATTTTAACAAAAATTTCCCCGCCACCGCTAATATCGTCTGAACAAACAGTTCACATTGGCATGTTTAATCATATTTTGAGAAATAAGTTTTGGCATTTGAAAAAAAGGAGACTTGCTTTAGAACACTGTTGTGAAAATTTGTAAAAAAATACCATTGTCATTAAGTAAAAGGTGTTTGAAATGGAACTATCACACTACAAGATTAGAACCAACATTTACTTCCAGTTCTGTTACAAAAAGCTAGCTGTACAGAATGTCACAAAATCATGCATACAGCTTTACGTACTAATGTTGCATCATATGACACTGTAAAGGTTTGGTACCAAAAACAATGACTATGACATTCAAAAAGCAGAGCACTCTGGCTGGCCTACTGATGTTCATGAGGCCTGCCTGTGAGAATTTCCTGAAAAAGATCCATATGCAATCACTCAAGAGTTGCCAAGGAGTTAGACATTAGTGTTATGTCCATTTGTTGCACTATGGATCGCATAAACGTGATGCACAAGTTCAATCAAGCTGCTTGAGCTGACTCAAGCAGATATGCACAAATGTATTCAGGCCTGCAGTAATCTGCTTGAATTTCAATACAAGGACAAAATTCTGCACCGGATTGTCACTTGTGATGAAAGGTGGACTTACTTCAACAACACAGACCAAAAAAAAAAAGATTGGTCTACACCTGGCGAGCACGGTGACAGCATCGCAAAGTGCAATCTGACTAACAAAAAGATCATGCTTGACAGCTAATGGGATTGCCATGGTATTATCCACAAAGAGTATTTAGAAAAAGGTAAAACCATCAACAGTAAGGTGTATAGTGAGATGCTAGTTCGTGTTGATGTTGCTATTAAGGAAAAACGCCAATCTGAGTTCCGGTACTACAAGGCAATGTTCCATCAAGTTAATGCAAGATCACATGTGTCTGCATTCACCGGCTGGACTTTGTATGGTCTCGAATGGGATCTTTTGCCACACCCACCATTTAACCCCAACATCGCTACTTCGGACTTCTACCTCTTTTCACACCTGCAGCTACATCTTGTTGGTGCTATCTTCCATTCTACTCACAGGACGTCTGAAATGAGGTTAATCTGTTTTTGGAATCGCAGCCATCAAGTTTCTGGGCTGAAGGCTTTGAAAAAATACCAAAACATTGGCATAAAATCATAGATTTGGGTGATGATTACTACCTGAAATTAAATTGCTACTTTCCTGCCCCCCCTTCTAACATTTTATTAAGAACGTTTTTTGGCAGAATTAATTGAAGGGATACATAGATTCAAGAAAATTTCCCTTTGAGATACTAATTTATAATATATAAATACTATTCTATAAAACTTGAATTAAAAAAATATAATTCTTAATTTTTTATTAAGTTTGATGATGTTATTTAGTAAACAAAAATGAATGCATTCATACATGACAGAATTACATACCACAATATAGAAATGCATATTTTACTAGTATAGTACAAATTACATAGCACATCTGACAAAACCTGACTACCAGTACTTCATTAAAATACTCACTGCTTTATTATCTGCAAACCAGCATTTGCAAGATTCACAAAATTTACGAGGAAGTGATTTCCAATACTCAGACCTAAAGAAAAATTAAAATTGACTTTTAAAAAAAATTAATGTCGTAACACAAAAAATACAAACATGAATGATATAGATATATAAATTTTTCATTTATCTTTATCAATCATTTAAGTACTTATACATTAACTTTCCACTTTATTAATATTTTCTATCTTTTAACAGAAAGCAGCACATCTGTTCATTTTTACAACAAAGACTGCACAATTACTAATTTAAATGAGATAATTGGTTAGAGTTGACTTTAAGGTACCCCTTGTATTATCACGAAGTTGTTGTTTCATTTATCGCCAAGTTGCTGTTTCGTTTATTGCCAAGTTGTAATATTTATGGCAATCTGAGGAGTTGGATGTTATGGAAACCCTATTATGACATAATTGTTTGTACTATTCTGGGAAATTTTGAATCATGGGATGTTTTGCAAGGGCTTTTGAGGTGTTTGTTGCTTAGGAAGTACATTGCTTGTTTCATTGTTTAGACGGTACAGTGGCTGAATGTAGTATGACTAATTTGAAGTTTCTGTACGATTTAGAACGAAAGGGAGGAAATGCATTAATTGACTGGTGTGGTAAATGAAGGTTTACTTAGTAGCCATAGTCAGGAACTACGTAGTATATTTTTGAGTCTTATTTTTGTGAATTTCTGTGGTGACGCCGATATATGGATTGTAGTTCAGATAATTTTAGGAAGGTTTTGGATGCTGTTAAAGAATTTTGTGTGTCACAGACTGAAGACGAACGAATTTCTAAATAAGGTAAGGGAATATTTGCTTTGTGTTGTGCTAAAATACATAACAGGTTTTTCCTTTTTGAAGTTACTTTATTATTTGGTTTAAAATGTAGTTTATTCAATAATGTATTTTTCGTTTGCCTTTACTGTAGAATTGGGTGCTCCTTTGACTTTTTAAGTGTAAATCTATCAATGTGTACATGGACAAGCTCAAGGGGGTGTGTAAAGCATAGTTTGTGCAATTCTCTGATGTTTTTTTAAGTGAAAATTTGTCGACGTGTACATGGATAAAGTCAAGGGAGTGCACAATGCCATTTTTTTTTTTTTTTTTAAGTGAAAGTAGGTCGATGTGTACATGGATACAGAGTTTGTGCAATTCTTTGATTTGTTATTTTGGTTTGTGTAGCGGTAATTTTTGCGCCAAAAATCACCACTACGCATTTTACCATTCATATATCATCACTAAATTTATTATCTTATTCTCCAGTTGTTAATACTCTCCATTTAATCTTATTCTCCAGTTGTTTTGTTAAAAGGCTACACTTAAAATATATTAATAAATTAAAAGATCTTATTTCATAATAACATTCAGAAAATTGGCTTTTTGCCAGAGTGTAACATTGGAATGAAATCCATGATTAGCCCAATATTATGCTTAAACTAACTACAGTTGGAAAAAAGATTACTATTCCATTTTGAGGACCATAAAAAAATGGCAGCGAAAATGTATCGCAAAAGCGCCAAATCTAGCAAACGCACCAAAGTACAGCGTGCCAAATCTAGCTAGCTCATTTCAGATTGTGTAAGTTTTATAGTTCTAGTTTCTTAAGACGCCATTAAATACTAGTTTAATTTTAAATCCTTTTTGATATCCTATGGATTAACAATTTTGGGAATTGCCCATGATAAAAAAATCTGCGATAGAATTTTGGGTAAAGTGCAGAATCACCCACGCCTGACGCGTTTTTAAGAATTGCACATACTCGGTATCCATGTGCCCAGCGCCTATTTCACTTTAAAAAAAACCAAAATTGCACAAATGGCTTGTGCCACACCCCCTTGACTTAGTACATCGACTATTTTCACTTAAAAGTAAAAGAAAATGACAAAAATCATTTTTTTACTCTGTAAAAAGCCGCAAACAAAAATGGGATTCGCACTTACCGAGAATTTTTCAAAGAAAAGTATCCTTAATTAGAAAATATATTTGAAAACCACAAGATAAAATTATGCTGTTACGATCATCAGTAGCGAAATAGGATGCAGGGATCCATCCAATTATTTAGCAATTTTTATATAAAATAATAATGAATCTGAAAGTGTTTTTACTTATGCTTCCATTCGCCATGTTTACCTTTTTTATATTAATATAATAATAAAAGTATTGTATGAAATAACTTTTCCTCTAAATTAAACATCAATCTTAGATAGTTATTTATGTTATACTTCCTTTTTGCATTAGGTTGCTGCAATTCTTTTGCAGCACTGGATCACGATAGTTGGCGATTTTTACGTCCTCAAAACCAAATTATACCAAAAAAGTATAGGAAAGAAGAATGACCCATAATATAATTAATTAATTTAAATTTTTAATGGTTTAAACGGAGATACTGTTAACAGTTTTGTTTTGAATTTTTAAATGGTTTAATTTGAAGATTAAGTTTATTTAGTTATGTAAACAAAATTAACATTAAAAAAATACAACTCAAAACAGAAAGAAAAAAAAATATTTTGTGAATATTATTCTTATATTTCAATAGGCTTCAACGAGGAAAAAAAAAGTTTTAAAGCTGTATACTTAGTTTATTTTTGCACTACAGCAATTTTTTTTTAATGCGTGAATTAACATTATATTTCAGATTATATACAATTAAATTACATACTGTTGTGTACAAAAAAATTCTAAATTACTGTAACACCTATTATCCCTGCTAAGACCTCATGCATCTCTCTGTCTTCCATTTTCCATAGAAAATGTGCTTTATTCTGATAGTAATTTGTTCATCATTGCACGATAAACAAACTAAAATCTTTTTGGGGCATAAAATTCAGTTGCCCAGAATTGCACAAAAATGGCATTGCACACACTCTTGACTTTATCCATGTACGCTGCTAAAGTTCTAGCTAGTAACCTTTATCGCCTTACCAAAATGTCGCCAAACTACCTGTTACCATATTCCAAAGATTAGCCCAAAAATTATATAACTTTCTTCAAGGAAGTAAATTTGTTTCTATACAAAAATAAAACACACAAATCTCACTGCATAATCAGTCTAAATAAATTTATTTCCCTTTACTCCAGACCTAAGTAAATTAATCAGCAATAACTTGCAGAAATAAGTGACTTTTGAGCTCTATCATGTTTACGTGGTGCCAGTTGAATGTTTTCTAACATTATTTAGTAAAGACTTTGATAATAGTGAAACAAGAAAATGTTGGAATACAGTTTATTCCAATTGTTGGAAAGGGTACAAAATGGATAAATTGGCAGTTGTGTGGTAAAAAAACCCTCAAGCTAATCATAAATTAAACTCTTTTTTTAACCTTTTGAGGCTGGGGCTTTGGTAGCAGTAAAAGCTACCAAAGGACGGGGAATCTGAACCGAATGCTTTCCCCTTTTAAGAAATCACTCCTATTTGCAACAAAGATCTGTGTGTAGTAATGATTCTCAGAGGAGGCATCTATGTCGCAAAAGGAGACTTGAAAGAGATAGTGGTTAAACCCTAGGGACGTCAAATTTACATTTCACCCCCTTTTAAGCCTGGAATGGGGGAAAAGACTGGCCACTAAAGTGGACAATCCCGTCTTTTCAAAGAGAGGACTCTATGGCCACTATAATGGCCATCCCGTCTTCAAAAGGTTAATCCTGGTATGGAATAAATGCTTAAACCATTAAAGGCCAATAAACATCTGTATAGCATTGTTCAATCTGTATCATCTGTATAGCAATACACATCTGTATAGTAAAGCCAATAAACATCTGTATAGCACTGTTCACCACATCCAGATTCCTATCTATTAAATTCATGTGAATGCAAATGTTTTCAGCAACATTACATAAAATCAGCAACTTTATACCTCTGGTACAATATTAAATATCCACAAGATGATAAGAACCTAATTTATTTGTGTCTTTGCTTTCAGTATGCATTCCCAATCAGAGTCGTAGCTAAGGTTTTCAGCGCCCAGGGACAACTGAAGATTTTGTGCCCCCTACTGCTTGCCAAGGATGGAAAACATTTAATTCTAAAATGTCGTAACATCAGTTTGGCGCCCCTTGAATTCTGCGCCTGGGAACAGATGCTCCCCCTTGCCCCCCTCTAGCTACGCCCCTGTACCCAATTTAATAAAATAGTTATTTATTCATGAAGCTGTACACATCATTAGGGTTGCCATCTAGGGCTAATCTTTACAGTACGGTACCCCTTGGTTTTTGTCTGAAAAAAATTGTCACGTGGTATTGGTTGTCCATGAAATCTGGAAGCCCGCAGCATGAAATAGGTTTTTCACGTAACCCTAATGTTGATAATGTTGCCAAAACTAGACTTGAGGAAAATTTTGTTTTTTAATTTTTGTCATTAAAAAGGCGTTACAGTCAGAAGTCGTGGTTAATCTTTGGATTATGGTAACTTGGCGGTTTTTTGGCAAAAATGTGGCGACCAACCCTGCTACATCAACCTGCTAGTTTTGTTTTGGACGCCAATTTGTTTTCACGAAGTAAAGGTATGTTTTTCTTTTTTTTCCCCAACAATCTGCTAGCCGAATTACGCTTATACAAGAACTTTTATGGAACAAAAATGCTCAATCATGACGAAGATTAAGGGTGTGTGAAAATGGGGGAGAACGTGCAAGAATTCAATGATGTGCGCGTTTTTAAAAGAATGCACCCATACACGGTATCATAGCCATGTAACGGACGTATTTCACTTAAAAAACATACCAGAAATTGCACAAAAAAGGCATGCCCACCCTCTTGACTTTTATCCATGTACCAACTGACTAAAGTACAGCTAGTAACCTTTATTGCCTTACAAAATGTCGACAAACTACTGTGACCATATTCAAAGATAGCCAAAGTCGTTTCGTTAATTTGGACACCCATTAATCCAGACCTCAAAGTACAAACTTTCTGCGCATGCCTCGTATTGAGAATGGACAAGACCTTCCGCCTGCGAATACGCGTCTGTGCGCGATGACAAAATACGTTAAAGAAGGCACATTTAATGTATAACGGGCGGTATAAGCTAAGCTTAAAATTTATCTAATTCGTATGTGCAGATGCGTGTTCCTTAATCTTCGAATGGATTTGCTTATTATTTTTGCCGACGGTGGCAGAAGCAATTATAAAGTAAAGCTGAACTTTCAATATGTCAAATAGAATTCTGATATATATTTACTAATATGTAAAGGATCTACAAAACGAAAGTCTGTTTCGAAGTCCATTTAACAAAAAGTGGAATCGCAGCAAAAATGGATAAAGGCATTCCTTGTTTATCTAAACTTTACGTGTTATCTAAAACTTTGTTTATCTTTAAAGCCGGGTGCACATGAATTGCGAAGTTGATCTGTCAGCACTATCCTTATCTTCAGGGCAGAGGTTTATTTATTTTGCTATAATTCCTTTACTAAATGTAGTATTTCATCTCGAGGTACTCGTCTTTGATACGATTAAATCAAATCCTCGTCATTAATTCGTCCGATAGCGAAAAAGTAGTCGTGACAGAGGTTATTGAAAACAAAAAATTGCCATGACAAATTCGCGTTTCTCGACACAGCATCATAGGACTTCAAACAGGGGGAACTTTGATAAACAACAAGTTATTATGTCTGTTATAGAATAAAGAGAATGTATTATCCATAAAAACGAAGCAACCTTAAAAACTTTACATGAAAGAAATGTTTATAAAGTAAACAATAAATATTAAGCTGTTTTTTTTTGGAAATTTGATACCCTTTAGATCATAATTTCTTTATTTCATAATTACGGTTTCATATTTTTAATTTTATAATTTCTGCATGCCATCTTACCAGATTTAAACTGATGGTCCATATAATCTGGAAAAATCGATAATCCGGAATCGCCAAAGTCCCGACGAGTCCGGACTTTTGACTGTATTTCTGTGAATATTGCAAAACATTCAATTGTGATAAATTTAGATTTTGGCTATTTTTTGTAATAGTAGCTCTTTCGAATGGACCTAGGCTTTGGGTTCTTACCATTCTTTTTAATTGCTGTGTTTGGTTACATGTACGTGGTATGGTCTTGTATTTTGAACTTGCTATTATTTTGCCGTGGTTACCATCACTCGAGTATGTCGTGGTGACTAAGAGGATGAATGTTGATGGGTTGGATTATGATGAAATTGTGAATTTGAAGTTATTTTATGAATTGGATAATGGACAAAAGATGTTTGATTTTTGCATGAAAGTTGGTTTAATTGCTGATAGATATGAATGAGCCGAAACGACGAAAAATTTAATTGAATTGCTTACCTGGAGGATGGAGGAAATGGTGGTAAGCCTAAAGGTATGCACATGAAAAAAAGGTATGTTAAAAAATTGACATTTAATTTTACTTGTCTCTGTGTAGTAAAAAGATTTGTTTAATATTATATGTATGTTAGGTTAGGAAATATGTATTTTTGATTATTTATTCCTCTCTATTTGTGTATTTTTGGTTATTTGTTTGTCTCTGTGTGGTAAGATAATGGTGAATTTTTTCTGGTTACCATAATAGTTTTAACTTTGTTTTAGCTTCCTGATTTGTTTAGGAAAATATAGAGTTACATGGAGAAAGTAAGGCAGTGTGCAATGCTAGTTGTGCATTCTCCGATTTTTTAGGAGATTATTTTTTTTTTTTTTTTTTTAATTTTTTTTTTTTTTTGCGTAAATAGGTCAATGTGCAAATGGACACTGAGTTTGTGTAAATCTTTGACTTCCTATTTTGGTTTTGTGCAGTGCTGATCTTGGAGTAAAAAAAGAAACAATTCGCCAAGGGGTACCATAGAGTAAATTTTTACCCCAGCTAGTCAGAGTTCATGCCATTTATCTTTAGCATTAAATGACGCTCCATTAACCAAAAAGAACAGACTTTTGTAACCCACAGATGTTAATAAAGTTCTCAAAATAATTATTTTTTACAGGAAAAAAAGAATTTACTGACAATATACAAGATCATTTATACATCAGATACACCTATAGATGAACTGCATATGACAGCAGACTTCAAGAAACTGAGTGCAGATTCACCCACTGCTTGGCGCGTTTTGAAGAATTGCACCATGTATCCATCCATTGCACCGGTATCTATGCATTGACCTATTTTCACTAAAAGTCAAAGAAAATTGGCAAAAATCGAATTCTTCTATCTATTCTAATTCCTTTATCTGTTATGTCTTATAAAAAGCGCCAAACAATTAGGTAGGCGATTCTGCATTTCACCCTATTTTCCCTATGTAGAGAGCGTGAAAAACATAATACTTAAATTCACAACATCGATCCACTTTCAAAATAAGGTGTTAAAAATATAATATTAAGATCTTAAATGATTTAAGTGCATAAATTATTCGCATTCGCTCACGAAAAATCACAACTCTTTAATATTAACATTAAAGTCAACAGTTTGAAAAACAAGATACCTATGATTTATGTTACTTTCACTACGGAAGTACAATGTACTTACATTTTTGCTTTCAACACGAGAGAAAAAATTTCTTTCTCACACTCTGTCCCACTTTTGTAGATTTAATCTAAAAATAATGTCAGACTGACCGAAACAACGTAAATTGTTTATTTCAGCACGATAAAACATAGTCTTTTAGCTAGATGTGCGAGAAAGATGCAGCTCAGTGGTCAATGCTTGGTGCTACTTATTTTATATTTCCTGGCTCATTCAAATTTTGTTAATATAGTTATAGACAAGTGATTTGGCTAAGGAAGATGGTTGCAATTTACATTTCCTTTATCTATTATGTGCAAACTAACGCTGAACTAAACCAACACATAACTCAACTGTGGTGGCCCAGTTATTGCATGAGTAATAATTTTTTTATTCAGGTATTTTATATTTTTGCATGTGTTTAATTATTTCGTAAAATTAACTTTAACTTTTAGATAATATTCATATTTATATTTCTTTATTACTACATGGCAAAAAGTAGTTCATATTTATATTTATATTTCTTTTAGGCTGAATGGCAACGAGTAATGATTATTTTGTTTTTCTGTTATTGTTATTCTATTAGAAGCTCATTTTAACGGCTGAAAAATAAAAGCAATAAATACTCTTCCTAATCATAATTTAGTTTGAATAGCAGTAGCTAAATCTACGGAACCACTGCGTTTAAGGAACATGCGTCCACCCTCCATGCATGTGTTTGAAGTATGAATCTGTTTAATACGAAGGGTCTTAAAACAATCATGCTTACTCACACAGGAGAGAAACATTATGTGTGTGAAGTATGCAAGCGGTCATTTAGTCATAAACATAGTTTAAATTCGCATATGCTTATTCACACAAAAGAGAAACCTCATGTGTGTGAAGTATGTAAGCGGTCATTTAGTCATAAACATAGTTTAAATTTGCATATGCTTATTCACACAAAAGAGAAACCTCACGTGTGTGAAGTATGTAGCAAGTCATTTAGTCGAAAGGATGATTTAAACAAGCATATGCGTGTTCACACAGGAGAGAAACCTTATGTTTGTGAAATATGTAAGCAGTCATTTAGTCATAAACGTAGTTTAAATCCACATAGGCTTATTCACACAAAAGAGAAACCTCATGTGTGTGAAATATGTAGCAAATCATTTATTCAAAAGTGTAATTTAAACAAGCATATGCTTGTTCACACAGAAGAGAAACCTCATGTGTGTGAAGTATGTAAGAGAAGTCATTTCATCGAAGGGGTGATTTAACCAGGCATATACATATTCACACAAAAGATAAACCCTATGTTTGTAAGGTATGTGAGAAGTCATTTAGTCGAAAGGATGATTTAAACAGGGCACATGCGTGTTTACACAGGAGAGAAACCTTATGTGTGTGAAGTATGTAAGAAGTCATTTAGTCACAAGGCTATTTTAAATAGTCATATGCTTATTCACACAGGATAGAAACCTCATGTGTATGAAGTATGTTACAAGTCATTTAGACTTAAGTATACTTTAAATTTGCATATGCTTAGTCACACAAAAGGGTGCTAAGAGAAACCTTATGTATGTGAAGTATGTAACAAGTCATTTAGTCTTAAGGGTAATTTAAGTGTGCATATGTGTATTCATACACGAGAGAAACCTCATATGTGTGTGAAGTATATAAAAAGTCATTTAGTCATAAAGATCATTTAAATACACATATGCTTCTTCACACAAAAGAGAAACCTCATTTGTGTGAAAAAGGTAAGAAGTCATTTAGTGACAAAGGTAATTTAAATGTGCATATGTGTATTCATTCAAAAGAGAGACCTCATGTGTGTGAAGTATGTAAGAAGTCATTTTGGCAAAAGAGTGGTTTAAACAACCGTATGCATATTCACTCAGGAGAAAAATCTCGAGTATGAAAATGTAACAAATCATTTAATCTTCAGTGTAATTTAAATTTCCATACACTTATTCACCTAAAAGAGGAACCTTGTCTGTTAAATATGTAAGAAGTCATTTGTGCTAAAAGGTATTTCAAATGCGCATATGCTTATTCATGCTAAACCGAAATTTTAACACTATTAAATATTAAGCAAGTCATTTAGACAAAAGGCTGATTTAAACAAGCATGTATGTGTTCAGAAGTGAACCTTTTCTGTGAGTTATGTAAAACGTCAGATACAGGAAGATTTATTTAAACATATATATTCACATAAGAGAGCAATCTTATGAGTTATATCAAATTATGTATACTGAAGATGAATTTGAACAAACATAGTTATCTGTACAGAATATATAGACTTTCTCTTTTTTTCTTGTATTATTAAGACTCTTTTACTAATGCTGTAAGAACTTGTGTATGTCTGAAATTAACCTCATTATGTTAAATTAACCTCAAGGTTGATTCAGTGACACTAGATAGCAGAATTTAGAAATCTCAAAATTCTTAGAATTTAGAAAGGCACTATTTTGGATTTCCAGACATGGCCAGTGACAAAGTCTTATCAGTAACCCTGCATGAGGTATGTAAATTTTCATTTTATTAAAATAACTAATAAACCATTTATTTGTTTCCATAAGAGAAAAACTTTATGCAAGATTAATTTCCAGTCATTTTAAAGAAGTGCTAAATTAAAGAAGCAGTGGCATCACGTCATCTTATGAAATCGAGTTTTAAAGCAGCATATGCCTTAGCTGATTAAAAATGTTTAGGTTTTATGTGATTATGGCAAAGCCTCGAGGACTATCTGCATAAGAGGAGAGATGCCTTTGTGGAGGACTTTCTAATGGAAACTGGCTCATACACACATTGCACATGTAGAAAACCATGAAAATGCCCATGCAGCCAGCCTGTTTGCGGGATTAGAACCTCTGAAAATTTTTAGATTGTTTCTCTTATTCACAGTCAGATTTCTACATTTCCTCCAACCTTCACTAAATTTCAGTCTTTTATACTATCTCAGATGTAACTTGTGTTAAGTTTTTCAATCATTGGCAGAGATTATCATCAGAAGAAATTGAAGCCTTAAAAATGTTTCCCAGAACAATCTGATTATAATGTAATTTTGGAGTAGAATAGAAACTATCCAGATTTGATATTTTGTCAGCAATTTTGTAGTTTTAATATCTGTTCTGGAAGTCTAGCAAGCTCTTGTAAAATAGGACTTTTAAAGGTAATTAGGCTTTGCCAGATTATGTTAAAATTTTATGTCATGGGATTCATTGATGTAAGAAGCTTTTTTAAATCTGCTTATTTTGTTTAATAAATGTTAATTGCTTCAAATTATAACAAGAAATGTTTTCTTATAAATTATTTGCTCTTGAGAGCAGAATAGATAAAAATATTGAAGTTATAAAGATATTTATATAATTCATTCTAAAATTGTTTTTGGCACTTATGTATTAATGCTACATTGTTAGTAGAAACTGCCAAATTTCCAGAATGTGCCAAACTGGCAACCATGCGTATAACTATTCTTAAGGTAACCATGTTTATAACAATCGTTTAATCAAGCAACATCGCCATTTTTATGTGTTTTCTTTTTTGTTGTGTTCCAAATTAAAAACATATTGTGATATTTTTTGCTTTAAACATGGTTTTAAAATATGAGCTTGAGGAATTTGCTAGTAATGAAACTAACTGCTGTGAAATTTCTGCAGGAATACAGAATTCTGGTGAAAATTTTCTAAAGGGAACAATGAGTTAATGCATTTCCTAAATAGGTGATGTTGCCCAAGATTGTATGAAGTTGAGTCTTAGCAATTCTCTGAGGTTTTTATAAGCAAAAACAAATCACTGTATACTTAGAACAATAACGCTAAAGCATTACAGCAAGGTTTCAAGAAGGATGTAAGTATTTTATATTTTTAATGTATCATGTAATTCCTATTTAATAATTCAGATTTGTGTTTTAAATTATTGGAATATGCTTTCTTTTCATGTGTTAGTAATGTTTACCGATTTACTATAATTATCAAAAGTTTGGAGATCTTTCCTAAAAAAAGGCACGAAAACCACCAATTGTGCACCTTATAAGAAATTTTTACTTTTTCATCTGCAAAAAATTATGAAATTCCACCAAGGTGGTTGCTTTTATACATAAGTAACAATTTTTTTTACTATTAGTGTTTTGGTAGTGAGGCTGGATGGCGGAATGGCTAGCACATCGTGCACTAGCACCACAGGTCTAAAGTTCGATATCTGAGCTGGACAGATTTGACTCAGCCTTTCATTCCCTGAAAAAGGTCATGCTAAAAGCTGACCACTTGTTTATCTGGTTGATCTTTACAATATGGTAACTGGTAGTTTGGCGACATTTTGGAGGCGATAAAGGTTACTACCTGGGACTTTGGTAATAATGTGAGCAGTACTCAGTTCCGATTACGCATTATTTTGTGTGAGGGAAATGAGAGATCATGGGATATGTCATGTGATATTAATGGACGAATTATGGTTTTTTATTCGGAAAAGGGGGGAAATCGGGAAAAAATCTGGAAATTTTGTATTTGGCTTTATTCTGTGTGGTGTGAAACAGTGTTCGTGAATTTTTGGATCCCATGGCCGTAACTAAAGTGAATTTGAAATGAGTATTTAGTGGTATTGAAAAGGGAAGTAATAAATGTTTCTTTAAGGTTGTGCGAGATAGAAAAAAAGATGTTTTATTAAGTTATTTATTTTACCTAGTACCTTGCTGTGAAATATAAGTTGATTTTAAAGATCCTGAAACAGAAGATGAAAAGTTTATCGGACACGTAATCAAGAATCTGAAGAATTAGGTAAGTTAGATTTTAATTATTGAGGATATTATTTTTATGCATTGTTCTAAATGTAAGGTGGAAGTAAAGGAATTTGGTATTATGGGAAAATTGTTTAGCAATGATTTAGTTTAAAGTAATAGGATTGTAAGCTAATTTTTTAATTTAATGTATGTGCCATTTATATTTAAGTATGTTTTTGAATTTAATTATATTTAATTAAAGGATAGTTATTTTGTGAATTTTATGTGTGTAGGAATTTGATATAGTTTAAGTTGAAGTAACGTGTTGTATGGAATAATTTAAATATTTGATACTAAGTATTTGTAATGCTTGCTATATGAATTCGTTTGGTGACGTGTATAATGTAATAGATGATTTAGAGGTAAACGTTTTTGGATATTTATTTATTTTATATGTGGAAATGTTCATATTTGGAAAAAGGTAAATACTTTTTCGCGATCAGGTAATTTCATATAGTTCTTTTTACCGGGGTTTTAAAGATTGAGCCAAATTGTCATGTATTTTCGTGAATTTTTCTAATTTATGAGAAAAAAGCAGTGTACATGGATATAGTGAAGAGCGTGCGCAATGCGTTTTGTGCAATTCTGGGATGTTTTTTAAGTAAAAATAAGTCGTCGGCGTGTTTACATGTTTATGTGTTGTGTTATTTGAAAAAACGCGTAAGGAGTATGGTTGTGCACTTTTTCCCAATTTTGCAGTGAATATTTGTCTGATTAAGCAGTTTTGTTAGATAAAATTTCTAGCATAAGTGTAATCGGCTAGTAGATTGTTGGAAGAAGTGTTCAGTAGATAAAAGAAAAGAAACATGTCTTTACTTTGTGAAGACAAAATGGCGGCGGGGGAAAAAAAAATAGAGGGTTGCTGTAGGAGAGTTGGTCGCCAAATTTTTGCCAAAAAAATGCCAAGTTACCATAATGTAAAGATCAACCGTTTATCTGTACTTATGTATTATTACAACCAGCATATAAGAAGTTGCCAGATTTTCAGTATGTGTGAAATTCCGGCAACCATGCGCATAAAACATTCTTCAAGAATCCATGCTGATATCGATCTGTTATTCAAGCAACATCACCAATTTTTTACAAGTTTGACAGTTGTGGACAGTGATATTTTTTTGCCTTCAACACGATTCTGTAATATCACTGTGAAGTTTGCTAAATATGGAAGAAACTATATTAAAGTATCTGCAGGAATAAAGTTTTTTGAGACAAAAATCACTAAAGAGAAGAATAACGATGTGCATTTGATAAATAGTTTGTGCAATTTTTTTTAAACTCTCTTGAAGCGAAATCAGATTACTGTTTAACAGCGTTAAAACATTAAAGAAGGATTTCATGAAAAATGTAAGCTTTTTATTTTGTTGATGTGTTTTGTAATCTCTTTTTAACCGCTTGCCTCATTATTACGAGTTATCTCGGGTTCGTATATATTGCAGTTAATTATTATCCAGAGAAAACTCGGGCGAAGCAGAATTTGTCAGTACAATTTGTTTTATCACATTTTCACTCGGCCTGAAGGAAATAAAAGGAAATATTCACCTTTGATTGACAGTTTGCCAAGTTTTGCTCATTTTGTAGTTCTTTTGGCAGGTCTGGTCACGTGTTTACCTTATTGTATAGTATGCGTCAGTTGTGGATTAATAATGTATAAAGAAGAATAGTTGAGTTGGAAAAAAAAAGAAAAATAATGGCGATGATGCAAGATAGCGAAAACGATGATTTTTTAGTTAGTAAGTATGAAGAGGTGGACGTTTTCCAGATGTTGTTCCTGCTACTGGAAAAAAAAATCAAATCCAACGATACGGTGTACTCTGTGCTCCCGTAAAAGAGATTGCAGATGTAAGCCAGTAAAAAAAAAGACCAGTTACCAGTGTACACAATGTCAGGTATCACGTTATGTGGTCTCTTGTTTCAAAAACTATCATACAAAGACTAATATTTAACTTTTTTTTCATTTGCCTGAGATAACTCGGTATAGTAAACTGATATTAAAACTAAATGCTTTTACACCTGTAAAAAATTAGAAATTCAACTTAAAAACCTATATGTTTTGTTTTGTTTCGTTTCCTTGTATTTAGTAATAAAATAACAAAATGTGATGATTTTTTGAAATTTTTTCAAAAAAATTTGTAAGGGAAGCGGTTAATAATTAAAGATTGTAAATGTTTAAGTGTGCCCACTTTCAATATGTGGATATTGATGATGTATGATAAAATGATGCCTACTCACTGTATTGATAGTTTAGGAAAGTTTAAAAAAAAGTCATGAAAATCGCCATCTCGCGCCTGATAAATAATTTTAAACTTTTCCTCATGTTAAAAACAGCCAAACTGTGCCATGATCAGGGTTCATACAGTCCTTAAGAGTCCTTAGATTTTTTGGAATCAATTTTTGGTCCTTAATTTCGGCCAAAATCAGCTGAAGGTCCTTAATTTTAATCATCTGAAATTTCTGTTTGTTTTTAGGACTGACATTTTGAGTGTGAATTAGCATTTTGGAGTAATATTTTTGGAGATTCGCTGACATATATGGTTATTGTTATAATTTGTCCTCATTTCTAATATAAATGGTCAGATATGCAAGTTATTAAGCAAGAAGTGAAACATAAGCATTTCGAAATTCATTTTTTCTAATGAAGAGCTCTTAAACAACTTTTTGCTTTTCGTGATGTGAATTGTTTTATTTAACGGTTCTAAATTTTCCGACTCGTCAACATTTTGCCGATTTTAAGATCAGTTTGTAATAGAAAGTTCCATTTTGGCAACTTATTATACAATATTTTGAATCTGAAAAATAAACAAGGTATAATGCTATAAAGCACAATTTATAAAACAGTTCTTAATAAAAGCAAAATTAGCTATGTAATTGGTAAAAGTATAGTTTAGGGTACCCCTTGGCGAAACTTGGTGATTTTTGGCGGTACATAGATACCAATTTTGTGCAATTCTTTGACTCGTTATTTTGGTTTGTGTAGCGGCGATTTTTGTTTTGCCAAAAATCGCCGCTACACAAAGCCAAAATAACAAGACAAAACAGTTGCAGAAACTCGGTATCCATGTACACATCGACTCATTTTCACTTAAAAAAAAATCCCCGAATTGCACAAAAATGACATTGCGCACTCTTTTGACTTTAGCCATGTACACGACGACCTATTTTCACTTAAAAAAAATCCCCGAATTGCACAAAAATGGCATTGCGCACTCTTTTAACTTTAGCCATGTAAACGTTGACATATTTTCACTTGAAAAAAATCCCAGAATTGCACAAGTTTGCATTGCGCACTCCCTTTACATTGTCCATGTACACATCGATACATTTTCACTTAAAAAGTCAAAGGAGCACCAAATTCTACAATATAGGCAAACAAAAAGTACATAATCTCAATAAAATACATTCTAAACCAAATAATAAAATAACATAAAAAAAGAAAAAACATGTTATACATTTAAGCACTACCAAAAGCAAATATTCACTTACCATGATTTTCGAGTTTGCTTTCGTACACCCAGAGCCACGTAAAAATCAAAATATCAATCATACTCAAATGACTTTTTTCAAACCAGGTACTCTTTCTGATCGAACGCTTCACATACTGTCCATCTGAACCTTTCTTCCTACAAATCCGTCTAAACGGTTTTTGCATTCAACTAGACGCATATCCTTCCTACATACAGGACACTTATAATGCTACTAAGTAAACCTTCATTTACACACCAGTCAATTAAAGCTCTTATCCCCTTTTGCTCCAAATGGTACAGAAACTTCAAATTAATCTTACTACATTCGGCCATTCTACCGTCTAAAGAATCAAACCAACACACACCACAAAAATGCTTACAAAACATCCCATGATTCAAAATTTCCCAGAATCATGCACCCGGTCACGTCACATTAGGGTTTCCATAACACTCAACTACTCAGGCTACCATAAATGAAATTATTGAAATAAATAGCAATATTGAAATAAATAGCAATTATTGAAATAAATAGCAACTTTAAACTAGTAAAACGGTAAGATACAATAAAATTTTGTTTCTGCAGTGGAACAGAAACAACAGACTATAGTTGAAAAGATTGAAGACACTAATTGCAGAGATAGCTTCCTTATTCTTGGCATGCCTTTGTAGTGCAGGATATTACAAACTGTGCATATGCAGCAAATATTGATTAAGAAATGACTTGTGGTGAACTTTGACACCTCCATTATGATGCTCTTGGTGGTATTTTTCAATATCTATATATAATTTACAGCTGAACAAAGACAATATTCTGATTTCATAGTTGCACTTGACAGAAAATGTAATATATTAAAGGTAATAAAGCGATTGTGATTAGAACCATATTTTTTTACCCTTATTTTAAGAAATGCTGATGTCAGGAAAGCAAAATCGTGAGTGTATCATTTGCATACCAGCTAATATTCATGTAGATTAGAATTGTGATACAAAATGCAGATTAAAATGTCTTGCATGACACAGGTGATTAAAATGTTAAACATGACACAGGTGATGAATAGGTTTTGTGAATGGTTCAGTAAAGAGCCACTAAGTCATCAGATTTGGATCATGCGGGATAGGAAAGTTTTTCGCCTGGGAAATTTTTGGATGCCCCTCCTCCTGGTTGTCCATCAATCCGAAGGAAACCATGCTGAAGTTAGTATGTCAGTGATGCATTCAGCCTGCAAGGTCAAGCAAAATATAGGCTGCTGAACTTGGAATTAAAAGAAACACAATACAACTCCACGTGAAAATAGACTTAGGCCTCCAAGCATTCTGGGCAGTGGCCATCAATGAACTAACTTACTGTGATTTAAGCTGCCATCAGGAAGCATGCAGTATCTTGTTGGAAGTCTTCCCTACCACTTCTGCTTGGAAGTGTATTCTTTTCTGTGATAAGTTATTTATCAGAGTTTGCAGGATTTGAACATCTTTATATGGGCAAAAGAAACCCACATATTTACCAAGAAATTAAGAGCAATTCTCTGTGCATCATGCTTTGTGTAGGGATGATTGAAGACTACATCTTTCATCTGTACTTCTTTGAGGATTCCATGACCGAGGTTACTTATCTGGAGATGTTGAATGCGTTTTTCCATAGTTTCAGGATCTGGGCATCAACAGCATAGTTATTAGTTTACCAGTGCGACGGAGCTTCTGCCCACTTTGCACTTGCTCTTCGTAAATGCCTGTATGAACTGTTCCCTGGCAAGTGGATAGAACATGGCCCCCTACTCAAATTCAGGAGCGCCTTATTTTCAGGTGCATGGAATTCAGGATCTTTTAATACTTAACAATACCCTTTGGGAGATCAATAAATTATATATCAGGTAGAAGGGGTACACATGGGCAAGTCTGCTTGAAATTTTCCAGCATGTAACAACTGCAGCTCCTAAAGAAGATGAATAGGAGGACATTCAGGCATATTGTACTCTGCATGGATAACGGTGGTGCATATATGGACATTTTTGGACCAATAACTATAAATGTTATTGAAGATTCAATGAAATAATTGCACATCTAAAGGGACTTTCTCACTACCTTTTATTGTACCATCAGTTATGTGCAACATTAAATGTACTAGCTAGAACTTTTGTTTAGCCAGAAAATTATTCATATAATCCATTTTAATGAATTATTTTTAACATTCATCTAATGACAATATGTTTCGTTTACTCTAAAACAATTCCAAATGCTTGTTTGCATTAGCAAAATTCTGAGCCCAAAAAACACACATGAATTTGATTGTTCCATTAATACAAGCTGAATGACTGCTTTTGAATAGGAATTTGACTAAGTTGGTGTAAACTTTAGAAATGAAATTTTGATTTTTCACATGTGGCATGAAAAGTTTATCCAGTCAGAGACTCGAAAATTCTCAGAAGGTGTTTTGTTAATATTAGATGCTTAGAAACATTGCATAAAACTCAATATAGTAAGGTTTCCTGTCCTTGAAATGTTTTCTAGCATCCCATTTTATGGGATGAAAAATAAGATTCTGAAATTAAAAACAGCATTCCTTGTGTTGCAAATCTCACAAGAGATTATATAGTATCAGTTTAGCCTTTCAGTGCCAGTTATGGCTATACGTTCAGATATAAGTTTTTTACATTTAAAATAATAGTAATATTCAATAATATATATGTGTAATTGTTTAGAGAACGTGATTTTACTTTACAAATGATGCTTAATAAAAATGATTCAGCTTCTTTTTCTCTTTCTTATTCTGCTGATTTTTAACCTATTTAGAGATCTATATGCTTCATTTCCACCCAAATTCCTCTATCATTTCGCACAATATCCTTAAATTGCATATTTCATGCTTCGCAATGAACCTAAATATGGTTTAGTTGTAACAAATTTTAATTATTAGTTAGTGTTTCACATGAGTTTAATTCAAAATTCTATTGTGCTGTGTTTTAGGTTTCAAAATTAATTTAAAATATATTTATACCAATTTGGGTAATTTCTTAACTTTAATTGTTGGCTTTACATTGTGTTCAATTTTGGAAATTCAAATGAAATTTAAAAAGGTAAAAGAAATTTTCATTCTAGTACCTGTTTCTCCTAAAATTAATTTAATTGTGCATTTCTAGATATTTTCATATTTTTAATTACAGCTTTCAAGATCATGGTGATAATTATAAAGAAGTGCTGCAGAAGTTTCATAAGAACAGAAGTCATTGCAGTGCTTATGTAATTGAAACAATTGAAGATTAAATCTGAGAGAGTTCTTCTAAAGGCAAAGTTTTATTGCATATATAACATATTCTTGTGGTTTCTCATGAGAGTAAATTGATGTATCTCTTCCCAAATTTGACCTTTGACTTTAAATGAACTAGAACATTTAACACATATTTATTCATTTAACACACATTCTCACTAGTATGTGTAAAAATATGTTTATTTTTAGCAAATTTAATTGTGAATAAATAGTTACAAATATTGCATTTGTATAATTTCTTGCTCTGGATAAGCATTTTTTTCTTTAATAGACTTATCTGTACGACTGATTTACAAACTTTACATCGATGTATTTTGAGCCCTGCATCTGTAACCATGTTTATTTAAATCATGCCTGTATGCAATGATTTGTCACATACAGTACATTCTTGTTTTCTGTTATTATTTTGATTTAAATATGTGTTTTTGCATTACCTTTTGTGTGTCCATTGTATGAGTATATGCATGTGGAATCTCACCTGTATGTAAAGTACATGTGTCTTTAGTACACTTGAATGTGAAAATAACTTACCACCTATATCAGTCATATGATTTCTTATTTCCTTTGATATACATGTCCTTGTAAAGTGAATTCCAGTAAAGCTGGTGTCTATATATACTAAATACTGGTGTTTTCTTTTACAAGCCAGGATGCATATGTATTATAGCACTGATCATTCAGTTTTTTAATAGAGACATGTGCATACATACATTATTGATGGATGGATACAGTAATTAGTTTTGTAACAGCTTTTTGTTAAATTTGTGTCTAATTTACGAGACTTTTATTTTATTTATTTTACTTTTTGTTGTTGTTCAAAACTAGAAAGTGCTTGCACTAAATGAATATGTGGCTTTGGAATTAATACTCTAAATTCATGTGGATTTTCTAAAAACTATTCAAAAATTTAGTTTTTATTTTGTTCTGATGTAGCTAGTGTAATGTTAGGAAGAAAATCAGGAGTTTCAATCAAACGTCCACAAAATTTTCTTCACATTGTATAGTTCATCACTTGGTAGTATAGAAAATTTGATTAAAAAAAATTCACAAAGGGAATTATTTTGAAATATTTCTTGAAACTTTATCACAAGTCCACCACAAAATCAACAAGAATTTAGTTTTATTAGTAAAGATTTAAATAATGAAATATAAAAATTGACTCTTTTTTTTTGGAACATGCAGTTTATTAATAGGTCTCGCTGTTTGGACAAATCATCCAGCTTTATGCCATGCATTTGCATTGAATGATAAATATAAGTGTTTTTTTAATTAACTTTGAAGTTGAAATATTATGGCTTAGCATTGGTTATCCTACAGGAATCTTACTCTCTGATATTATGTGGTTTGTTTTTTATTTTAAAATATTCTCTAGTTCATTTACAATGACTGGTATTTTTGGCTGTTGTAAAAAGTAAAACGTATCATTAGAACTGACAATTTGTTTTTATAAGATAATGTATGAATCTCTTCATAAAATTTTCATAGTTCTTGATTGGATGGATAGAAGTAATTTATTAATTGAAGAATTAAGATTAAAAAATTGTAACAAATTTCGTTATTCAAGATAAAATATTGCTTGAAATGTATATGCACTAAATAATATTCTATTATTAAGTAAAATTAATACTGACAAAATACTAAATTTGAAAGTGCAGTTTAAAAATTAGAAAAATAGATTTTATTATGTGCAGTTACAATAAAAATGCATTTGTGCATTTGTTATGTATTATAATTTGTGACTACAGGTAATATATGTATTATAATGAATTAAAGCAGTTTAAGATCTGTTTGAGTGATGTCTGCAAGAAAAAAGGGTAAAGCATTTGCGATCTATAGGGAAGATATGTTATTATTTGATTATAATTAGTATGATTTATGTTAAGTTCATCAATATTCTGTAAGGTAATCAAGCAGCTAAAAGTATAAAACACTTGTAATTAAATATCCTTTGCTTGATTTGTATTTTGAAATAATTATGAATTTTATAAAGGAACTGAATGCTAAAATTGCTAAGCACTCATAACCCTGTAATATGATTCACAATAGCTTTATGAGTTGGTAGCATGAACTAGTTTTGTTACATAAATATAAGTAAGTCCCTGGAGAAAGTGTAAATTGTATTTCTCTTTAGGCTGATTATATAATGGATAGAAGAATATGACCTGTTGAAGAATATTTTAGCTTAAATATGAATCTTTAGGTCTAACAATTTGCAGCTATGCAGTATTTTTGCAGCTTGGAAGCAAAAGTCTGTCATGCCTGAAATCTACTTCAGCGTTTGATCGTAAGAGTACAAGGTCTCAAAATATATGTCTCAGGGTGTCCACAGCCGCAGGTTGGAGTAGTTATATAACCCATATGCATTTTATGTTAATTAAATAATCCAGTTTAAACCTATACAGATAGTACAGATAATTAGGTAAAGGTCTTTGGTCATAATTTATCCACTATGAAGCTATTACAATATAATTTTGTGCTTATTTCTTATACTGTGTATCAATGATTTCATATTATATATGGGTAAAATTTAAACTTTGTCATTATATACATAAGAATTAGTTTGAAATTTCTATATTTGAATACATATGTAATCATAGTTTTAACCAACTAAACAAAATGATAAATAAATTGCATTCACGAATTAAGACTATTCTGTTGTCATCTTTTGCAGATAATTGCAATTATATTACTTCATACTGAATGTAAATCAGCATGAAAAAATACATTCTGATTTAAATAGATAACATTTAATTCAGTATCAATAGATATATTTGATGTAATGAAATTTTATAATAAAATTGAGAATATTGTATTGGTTTATTTTAAAATGAAACTTTAATGTTTTCCCTGTGGAAAAATTCAAATATGCAGCTTTATATAAGGATCATTAAAGGAATCTTCAGCAATATGTGGTAATATTACTGACGTTGAGAACGAGAATTCAATAACTAAACCGATGGGTTCGCATCTACATGAAGCAGGGTGTTTTGTATTGTCCTGAAAGGAAAAAGACATTTCGGTTTTCGCAAAAACATTTTATTAAAGTACAAACACATACATGGACACAACAACCAAAATGTTCATTTCAAAACACGGCACAAAAGGGTTAAGCCACATTAATTGATCTTATTCTTATACATTCTAGAAGCTGATGTTGTTACCCCAGCTTCAATTCATTTCAGTTTGCAACAACTTGAGACAAATAGTAGTTAAAAAGCTACCCCTTGTGCATGAATTTTGCTTTCCAATTACCGCCCATGCAAGTTTAGTTTTTCAAGGCTTTAAGTCCTGAATCCAGCTCACTAAGTTTTCAATCAGCAAATTTCCCAAATCATCAGCCCGAATCAAAATGTCAGTCTAGCTTTCATTACAAAAAGAATCCAAGTCCTCTGAAATTCTTTAATCATTAATTTTCAGAATAAAATCTGCATATCCCTTTCTCTGAAAGAACTTCAAAGCTGCAAGTATATGACTTTTTTAAATCGCTGAGTTCAATAGAAAATATCTTGCGTTCATTTGGTTTTGTTTTATCCCCCCAAACAGGGTGTGTACCACAGGTTCTTTCCATGGAAGAACATTCAATAATGTCATAATTCTTTCATTTACATAACTACTTTGGGTAGCCGAATCACACAGAGTGCGAACTTTCAGGTCTTGGGCCGCGAGCCGGAATGACTACGCAAAATGTTTGCAAGTAAACAGTTTCGCTTCTATGGCAATTAGAAAGAGAATTATCTTTTCTACATACATTCTTTTTTCCTTGTTGAGGACGCATAACATCAAAATGGGAATTATTACATTGAGAACATTTCAACTGATTTTTAACATTACAAAATTTGCTTAAATGACGTGACCTTTTAAGACATAAAAAACATCCACCTTTCCTCAAAACTACTTGCTTTTTTCTCACTTAATGTCATTTTTCTTCCTTTAAAACATTTTTTGGCTGGGATGAAACTTATCACAAAAGATGCAATTAACTCACTTACCTGTATTATTATTATTAAGGCAGTGGGCCATTGCAAATTCACCTTCTGGTTTTTCAGGAACAGAACTCTTACTTTTAAAATTAACTTGAGAAAACCCGCTTCTTGCTAATGACACCACTTCTTCATGAAAAAATTTCATTTCATCAGCTGTTGTAAAGTACGGGAACTCTTGGAATCACTTGAATCACAATTTCTGCTTCTGTCCCAGGTAAGGAACACTTCCTCTGGAAGGCAATTTTTCACTAATGAAATTAGAAAATCAGTATACTTTTCTTGCATTCTTCCAAAGCTCTCAGTTTAGATTCCAATTCGTCATATAAAGTTGCTAAATCAGCCTTGGTTCGTCTAGTCATAGCATTCATAACTATCCTTAGTAAGTAATGAACATGAATTTGGACAAGTAAATCATCTCTTCTCACTGAACAGTTATAGGAACGATTTCGTTCCTGGCCTTCGTGGTGTTATGCTCAGCATGCTTGGCTCGTATTCAAGAGGCAGAAGGTTCGCACGTTCTTATGTTGAGAATGAGAATTCAATGCCTAAATCATGGGTGTTCGCATCTACGCGAAACAGGGTGTTTTGTATTGCCCTGAAAGGAAAAGGTCATTTCAATTTTCATAAAGACACTTTATTCAAACATAACATACATAACAACCAAAATGTTTGTTTCAAAACTTAGATAAAGAGGGGAAGTTAAAGTGATCACAAATATAATAAACTAGCATCTTCGCTGCCAGCCTTCGTCTGGCTTTTAAATGTACCGAAAATATGGCTGAAGGGAACACCAAACGTTAAATTTAAAAACTGCGTAGAATTTTACTCTGCAGAATAACTTCATAAAAAAAAGTTATTACGTATAACAAAATTACAATGAAATAAGCAATATCCCTTAATACAAATATTAATTATCCTAATAAATAAATTAATCAACTTCCCTTTGCAAAATCTTAAGAACTCAAATGGTATAAAGGAGTTTTGAGTGATTTTGTTTTTGAGTGATGGTTTTGAGTGACTTTGTTTCCTAAAAAAGTCACTCAAAACTTTTCAATATCTTAAATACAGTGAAATGATCAATAAATAACATAAAAGAATATAAAAAAGTTCTGAAAAGCAAAGTATAATTAATGATATTTTATCTCATATTTTCAAGAGAAAAAAATTACAATGAAATAAGCTATATCCCTTAATACAAATATTAATTATCCTAATAAAAATCTTCAACTTTCTTTGAAACTTCAACTTTCCGTTGAAGAAAAAAATAGATTGCAAAACTTCTCAATATCTTACAAATAGTGAAATAAGCAAAAAATAACATGAAAGAAACTCAAAAAAACAAAAACTTCCGCGCAGAATTTTACTCTGCAGAACAACTTTATCAAAAAAATATCAATAAAAATGTATTATATATATATATAAAATGACAATGAAATATGCCAATATCTTAAAAACAGTGACATAAGAAATACGATGAAAAATTGTTGCCAAACCCATATTTCTAAAAGAATGAAACTGTTCAAAATGATGCGATTTCATCAAAAATCTATCAACCACAATAAGACAGGAAAATTGTTGCCAAAATCACATTTTTAAAGATGTGAGAAGTGTACTCGGAAGCTTCATTTAAAAAAAAAAAATTTTAAATACAAAAATATTGTCATTTTTCCAAAATTCTTTTTGTAAAAGCAGTCGCAAGGATGAAAGTTTAACGTGTCTAAAAATGAAAGAAAAATAAACTTTTTTATAAAAAATCCCGTTGAAAAGGTGTTAAGCTCCCTTTGTTAAATAAATTCGTATGTAATAGATTTATTGAAACAGGAAATTTATTTTAAGTTCGTAAAATAGCTAAGTGCCTACGTTTCATGATGATGTGTAGAGTAAAATCTCGCTTTCCTATAGCCCATTATGTCTCAAAATGACGCGATTTCGTCACAAAACATAAAATAAAAAAAAATTCGAATTCGAATTTCGAAAAAATCGCTTCGAGGTGCACTGGCTCTTGTCCAGATGCACCTATGTACCAAATTTCGTAGCCGTGGGTCTATTAGCTTACGCGCAGCGCGAACGAAAGACGCACACACATACACAGACTCTTTCTTTTATTATATGTAGAGATAAATAATTTGTTTATTATTATTTATAAGTGATGGCAGTTTGAGTGCGTGGTTCGAAGAATTTTAGGTTGAGTTTCCGTTTCCCCTGGCTAGCAAGATCTCCGTACTTAAACCTAATCGAGAATCTGTGGGACCATCTGGATCGGGTTTTTCGCGCCATGGATCCTCACCCGCGTAAGCTAGTGCAGCTGGCCACTGAACTGGAGTTGGCATGGCTCAACCATAGACCTGTTCTATACAACTCTATGTACATTACAGCTCTATGGGCTCAACATCCCAGTGAACACCTTCAAGAATTTAATTGACTCTCTTCCTGCACGTCTCGCAGCGGTCCGCTCTGCGGAAAGCGGTTATTCTGGCTTTTGAGAGGTGGTCATATTAATGTGATTGGACTGTGTATTATTAAAAATTACAACCTACTAAAAAATTCTAAATAAACACTTCAGAAGTTGTTATAAATTCAGAAAATGTTTATTTGTCGTCCACTTCTTATGAGCACACTTGGGTTGGAAAGTTTCCTTTTCAATTATTGCCTTTTGACAACAGGTTCCATTATTTGTTCGTTTTCTAGGAATCTTTTTCAGAAGAAATACGTAGCTAGTCTGATACAATCTCTGAAGGCTGCAATTGATGGAGCGGCCTTAGGACCTACACATAGTTTAGCCACACGTTGCTCTTCATCTCTGCCATTGAGGAGTTCAATCACTCGAGCTAAAGGCCACTTAATTCTTTTAATGTTATCCGAACCTACTAGAACTATACAGAAGATTAATCAAAGTATGTACTATAATGATCATAGCAGTTTGTGCGGAGGCACTAGACCTGTACGACCAATGGCGAATTTCTGGTGCCCCGCCTACTTCTACTTTCTGCTTCCTGGTGGTTCTGGTGGCCGAAGTGATACTGTTATAATAATTCAGAAATCTGCAAAGATAGAGATTTTGGACTGGCTAATTAACGATAGATAAAATCAAGCGACACTCTTTAATAAATCTGGATTATCATCTATCTCTGATATGGATGTATATCCAGCAATACAACGTAATATAAATGCTAATACGTTCGACAGGAGTGTGCTCAATGAATATTTTTGTTGCTTTGCTAATCAGATACACTACTTTAATTTAATGTAATACGAGTGTGCTGCAACCCTCCTGGCTGATAATAATCGGCCTCATGGTTAACATTACTTTAATGTATGCATTATATAGATACGTTTAAAGATTATTTTTAAAGATAGGAAATGTTTTATATTTCGGAATGACATACTCTATTCCTTCTCATGCATACATTTTCATCTAATGTTTTTGATATTATGTGTAGTGTTTATATACAGTGCTAATATAAATTGTACGCTGCTAGGCATAAGTTTGCTCAGAATATCGTGTTATGCATCAGATAATAAGAAATGCTTACCTGCAAGTGTCGCTATTCGATAGAGGTAGGATAGTTGCCTATCGAAATTGCGGACTACCGTTCTGTGATATCGCCCGTCGCACTGATCGACATCCAACCACTGTCATGCGAATGTGGAAACAATGGTTG